ATTCCTGTATCATCGCCGTGAAATATTTATCAAAACTGAAAACATCTAATTATTATTATTATTTTCATCAGCTGTTAAGTTTGCATTTTAATTATTTAATCACATATTTAATAAATAGTCATTTAAATAAGCAATTTAAGGTTTATTTATTTCATGGTGCATTTATTGATTTATTTTTTCATACGGAGAAAATAAATTCACACTTTGTTCTTGTCTGTCACATAAAATTCCTGCAAAAAATGAACCAAAGTTTCTAACAGTATGTTTGGGATGTTTACTGTTTGTTTGTTCATCAGTTAATTTTATTTTTGAAATATTTAAACACTATCCATGCATTCTGTCCACTAAATTAAATGACATTTGTTTGTTTGTTTTCTCGCAGAGCCTGAGAGAGGGACTGACTGTGCAGGAACGCCTGAAGCTTTTCGAGGCTAAAAACACCAGAAAGATTTAAATATGTGTAAAATCTCAAGTTTCCTCCTTTTCTGGTTGGACGTGCCAACGAAAAACATTCAAACCTGGAAATTTTAGCTTCCATTCCTCCCACTTCTCGTGTTTTTACTGGACTAACTGGAGCCAGATTATTTTTTAAAGAAAATCAAACATCACACCCATAATTAAAGTTGTAGAGAAAACACAACAAAACAGTAAGAATAATATCTACCAGTATGAATTATCTGCTGTATTTAGTGTTTCTGTCTACTGGCTTTATTGTGTTGCACCAGTTGGGCTGTATGTAACTACTGGGGTTGGTGTGTGTGTGTGTGTGTGTGTGTGTGTGTGTGTGTGTGTGTGTGTGTGTGTGTGTGTGTGTGTGTGTGTGTGTGTGTGTGTGTGTGTGTGTGTGTGTGTGTGTGTGTGAGAGAGAGAGAGAGAGAGTCGGGGGAGCGCTCAGATTGCACTTACCACTGGACTACTTGAGGAAGCTTTGTGTTTTTAGTTTTTTCATCTAAAATTGGTGTTGTGACAAGCAATTGGTTTTTGCAGTGCATTCAGTTTGTTATGATGCACTGTAAAAACACATGTTATCAAATGTTTTGGGTTTAGTTTCTATTGCAAATATCTGAGTATTTTGAAAATTACAAGTAACTTTTCAGCAGGAAATAAAAAAAATCTTCCAGTTTCACTGGCAGATTATTTGACTTGTAAAATGTTTTGTTATAAGTGAAATAATCTGTCAGTAGAACTTTTTATATTCAAGATTAATAAATTATGCGCTTAAACGAGCGTTTTTCTTTTTGAAAAGCAACTGGAGTGATTTTTTTTTTTTAAGTTTACTGAGATATTTGCTCCAGAAGTCAGAACTAAAATACTTGATAAAATGTTTTTGAGAGGTTTGTGCACTGCAAAAACATTTTTACTGATTGTGTCTATTTTTCAGCACAAACATCTTAAGTCACTTGTAATAATACAAACTAACTTGTATTTAACTGTTTAGCAACATATAGGAGTTTCTTTAAAATCAATAATTCCTCAATATTGATTTTTCAATGTACTGGTTGAACTGACAGACTATTTAATTCACAACTTGAGAAAATTGTCTTGTCAAGAAAATAATCTGAATTATTGACTTAAAACCTGCTTCTATATCTTGCTGAAAAAAAGATACTTTTAATTTATTCTGATCTTATTTCAGGCGTAATAAGATATTTGCAGTAGAAAGTAAACCAAAGTTACTTGGTAAGATTTTCTGTTTTTGCAGTGTAGATTTTTTTAAACGCTTAAAGCTTCGTATTTGAGTCGGTGTGACGACACGCTCTTTAAAAACTAAACCATTTCGGACTTTGCATGAGTATCCAGCTTAATTTAAGCAGCAGAATGATTTTATTTTCAGATTTTACGCTTCAGTGTGAAACTTTTAAACGAAGGCTTTGCTTCCCGCTGATCCTGCTGTGTTGATGTTTTACTGTAAAGCGTCTGAAACGCTCGGCGTCCCGCCGCGCTCATCAAACACCCAGAAACCTGTGCAGCTATGGAAACACACTGTATAGTATTCACAACACACGTTGTACATAAGAGGATGCCATACAGAAGACCTATGTTTGTTTTAGACTTTTATCTTGCCCCATAGCTCTACCTGGAATATATATGAATATTTTTTATTTCTCTTTGAATGTATGATGTCTAATAAATGAAGTGTTTAAAAAAGGTTTGACTGTGACCATCAGTTCTGTGTCAAACTGTTTAAAAATGCACCAGTCTGACAAAGACAGATTTCATTATTCTGTTTTTAACTATCATTATTTATTGATGCAAAACTTGGATCATCTTTACACTGAGATTTTAAAAAGTGCTTTAATGAATCAGCCTGAAATTAAATCTCAGAAATTTCACTGAAATAAACTTGGAAATTTCTGAGATTAATTTCTGAATTTCTGTTTTTTTCTCACTAATGTTCCTCTTCTGGAGCTCAGAAATATCTTTGGTTCTTCTAGAAAGTTTCTGAAATTAAAATGTTTATTTTTTAATCTACAATGGCCCTTAAAAGCTGCTGCACTCGTGGATCCAGTGCAGGCGGGTTTACTAGTTTTTTAGGTTTGTTTAATATTTAAATATCTGAAGTGAAACCGACCAATCGGAGGAAAGGAAACCCATCAGCCGGGGGTTCTTAAAGAGACAGGACTGGAGCGGATTCAGACCCGTTCAGTTTTTAAGACTTGAAACAACGACAAGGTACAATAAAAATTATTTATTTCTAATTTTATGTCCTTTTTAAGTAACTATAGCTAACAAAGCCCGACAAATATTTCTATTTGTGATTTGTATCATAGGCATTTAATATTTCAAATTAGATATTTGCTGATTTATTTAAGAACAGTTCACTAACATTTTTATGACTATTTAATAATGACATCAGTTCTGGTGACCATGTTTTATATTTTTTAAATGATTTTTTTTATGTGAAAGAAAGGAAATTGAAATACAGTGGTGTGAAAAGGTGTTTGCACCGTTCATGTGTTTATTATTTTATTGTTCATCACACTTCAGTGTTTCAAAATATCAAACCAACTTAAATATTACTGGTCTGATGTTCTGAAACATTGAAGTGTGGAAAACATGCCTAACAATAAATAATCAAAAAGATTGCAGACTACGAGATTTAAAGAATGTTTGTGAACTCAGCAGTTCCTGGTTTTGTCCACCAGGGGGCGCCATCGGCTTTGGCGCTGAGCCGAAGGATAGATCCACACAGAAGAAGACAGAGCTGGGTAATAACCAATTTCAGTTACCTCAGTAAATTTTTGAAAAATGTTCACTTAATGTATATATTTAAAATATATAATTTTAATAGATATAAAAATACTGATTACATTAATGATAAATGTGTTATAAGTTAAATAACTGGCTCTGTTTTTATCAATATTTAGGAATTATTGACTTACAGTGAGTTTCTATTGCGAGTTAGTTTTGTTTTACTTAAAATGTTAAATATTTACACTAAAAGAATATTCAAACTAAGTTTATTCATATAACATATTTAGGACCAAAATGCTTCATAACAATCAGCAGGTAGATAAATGAAAAAGCAAGAAATAAAATTAAAGTAAAAACAATAATAAAATTCGGCAGTAAAGTATGAATAATAATAATACTATGACATACCTGATACTTGATAGGATTTTATTACTATTATTGTTATTAGATTTACTCCTGGCTTCTAAAACTTCTTACAAATAAAAATAAGAACTTGTATCTAAATGAATCTTGCACATCTTTCTGAGACCAAGTGTGAGTTGAAGCAATGACCGCTGCTAGCCATTAGCTGCTAGCCATTAGCTGCTAGCCATTTGCTGCTAGCATAAATATTTTCACCTCATTTCTCATTTTCTGGTGGAAAATTAAATCTCATGATGACAAAGAGGAAATAAATAAAGTCCAGTGAGGAAGTTGGGTTTTAAAGTGTCGGGCTGAACGTCCACTGGTCCTGGCAGTTGACCTTTGACTCCCTGATGCGGTGAAGGGGCCTGCGGATGCCGCCCTGCGGCCTCAGAGACGTCTGAAAGCTTTAGGTTTGTGGTCTTGACCTTTCCGGTGGGGGTGAGACGTTTCGGACCTTCAGCAGGAGAAACGCAGGTAACCGGGTTGAAGGCGGTTTGGCTTTAGGAGCTGCTTCACCTTTATGTCTGGACGTCTGTCTGTGTGAATTACATTTATTTAATGCTTTATTTCTTTCTCTGGAGAATTTGATCTGGTTTTATTAGTGGTGGCACTCGGTTAAAGTTTAAAGTCGAATCAATTTGTCACATTTTAATCGATTATATAGATAAAATAACATTTTCAATTAAAAACCCATTTTTGTTTCAAATTTATTGTACAGACATTTGAGCTCAATAAGAAATATTTAGTTTCTAATCTGTTGATATTCAGACTGAAGCTTTCCAGCTTCATTAGCATTAGCAGCTATGTGTTTAGCATTAACCCTTAATGAGCCAAGAGAGCCTTCATCATTAGCAGATGTAGCTTGTGCGTCAGATTTACGGGTTTCCTGGAAACATGATTAGAAAGGTTCCACCTCGGGGCTTTTATATTAAAAAAAAATAAAATAAAAATGTGATTGTGTTATGTTGTTAAAATATGTGTAATTGATTAATAGAAATGGTTGTGTTATATTTCTGGGCCTATTTTATACGTAAGAAGGGGAATCGCTGCCTGTGCCTCAGATTTATGGGTCAGAAACACAAAGTTCCAGCTCAGAACTTTTGAATGTTTTTTTTTTTAAGTTTAATTGTTTTTAAATTATTTAATTTGTTAAAATCTATTTACTTAATTTAAGTTACTGCATTACAGTTCAGATTCTACATGTAGGAAGAAAACGTACGGATGTGTAGAAACCGAATACGAAGCTTGGGACGTATTTATGAGAAAAGATCTATCTTTTTAATGTTTAAATTTTTTTGTCTCGAGTTTGAAAACAATGACTCTCATGGTTTATACAGTGCATAAAACATTATATTCATCAAATGTAATGAAGCAGCCAAACACAACATCATGGAACAGCATTTCCCCTTTAAAGCATTTTCCACTAATTACATTTATTTCATTTACATTATTTTACACACTTGGTCACAACATTGTCTGTCTGCATGATCCTCAATTAGAGAAACCAAACGTCTTCATTCTGTTGGTCTGTGAGGAGCTCAGCCATCGGGGGGCGCTAAAGGGCTCGGCGGACACTGGGCCTCCAGCCGCTGGAGGGACGACGGTCTCTTCGGCGGTTTGACGGACGCCGGGATGTCGGTAAACACGACGGATCGGCCGTCGGGGCAGAGCAAGACGCTGGAATCTGCTTCACACTTGGTGGTTCTGCTGGGCCACAGCGCCTCAGCCGACCTCAGACCGAGACCGCCCGGCGGCAGAACCTCAGTGTTGACGGCCGACACCTGGTTCATCTTGATCAGCATGTCCAGCGACTGCTTACGCTTCTCCAGAGACGCCCTAATCAGCTTCCTCTCGCTCTCGTCCTCCTCTTCTCCCTCGTCCTTCTTCTCCTCCTCATCCTCCTCCTCCGTCTCCATGGCGCTGGCCTTAAGGCCGCCATCTTGTCCAACAGTTTGCTCGCCTGGTGCGTCTGTTGACTCCTTCTTCACGGACAGGTCCAGAGGTCCGTCGCTCTGGCCGGCCGTGCGCTCCAGCGCCTGGTGGATGTGGGAGAGCTCGCTGCGGATTTTGTTCAGGTGCTCCCACAGTTGTCGCTGGGCGGGAAGGTCCTCCTTCTCCAGGTGGGAGATCTTCCGCTCGGCCTCCTGGTACTGCTGCAGAGCCTTGGAGAGATCGGTGAGGAGAACGGCCACCGACTCTGAAGCTCCGTCCGCCATGCTCCGTCCTTGGCTGTTGGCCCCAGCGGACAGAGAAACCGTCTCCCTGCTGGGGCTGATGAGGGTTTTGTTGTACCAGTGGTCACTGGGCCGGTTCTGGAGCTGGGAATCCTGGGAATCCTGTAAACTGAAATAAGAGATCAAGATTAGAAAACTCAAGAGGTTGAGGGTGTTTTCACACCTGGTAGTCTAGTAAACTGTTGAGCATAGTTGCAAGATTTGTTGCGTTTTCAGCTGCTGCTGTTTTCTTTCTCACTGCACTTTGTGAACCAATCAAAACACTTTGAAGAAACTGTTACCCTCCTCACCTGTGGGGGCGCTGCACCAAGAATGGCTGAAGGAAACAACAGGAAACCCACTAAAGAAGACAGCGCAACTTCCTTCTTCATGAAATGTAAACAGAAATGGAGAGGCAGCAGATTGTTGGATTCCTCGCTTGTTTTTAAAGGTCGGTTGGTTAAAGGTCACAAGCCATTTTCCCTGCTAGCGCGGCTAGGCTAACACTCCTGTTTTGGTTGTATTTACCCAGAATGCCCTGCGCTACAGTCCAATTCCTGCTTTTGGAGCGGTCTCTTTGAATATTCACATATATTCGAACCGAGGCGGGTCAGAGTTCACCTTTAGGTCAGATTCACAAATGAACCAAGTTTTTAGTCAAACAGACTGGATTAGGATTTAAGCAGATTGGACTAGGATTAAAGCAGATTGGACTAGGATTAAAACAAATTGGATTAGGATTAAACCAGACTGGATTAGGATTAAATCAAACTGGATTAGGATTAAAACAGACTGGATTAGGATTAAAGCTAATTGGATTAGGATTAAAACAGACTGGATTAGGATTAAAGCTAATTGGATTAGGATTAAACCAGACTGGATTAGGATTAAAGCAGATTGGATTAAGATTAAAGCAAATTGGATTAGGATTAAAACAGACTGGATTAGGATTAAAGCTAATTGGATTAGGATTAAAACAGACTGGATTAGGATTAAAGCAAACTGGATTAGGATTAAAACAGACTGGATTAAGATTAAAGCAAATTGGATTAGGATTAAACCAGACTGGATTAGGATTAAAGCAGTGAAAGCACCCTGAGACTCTAAGCTTCAGCATTTATGTAAAACTAGGAAACATTTCTGAGAATATTTACCTTATTTGTAGGAGATGTTTGTCAGCGGATCCAGTCTGGATGTTCCTCAGAAGGTCCAAAGTGAAGCCCATGCTTTGCTTCCTGTCCCCCGGGGACTCAGGACCTCTGATCGGACCTCCAGGCCTCTTCAGTCCACAGGTCGTTTTGCCTTCCTTGGCTGTGGCTTGGATCTTCTCCCCGCCTCTGTGGTCTTGGTCAGGCGAGTGTCTCTGAGGCGACACCCAGCCAGCAGGGGACGCCGTGTTCCCCGGCCTCAAAGCAGGAACTTTCCACAAACCCACTTTAGGCTGGAAGCCAGTCAGAGCGCTTGAATCTCCGCTGCTTGATGGCGTCTTCAGGGATTTGCCAGTGTCGCTCTGAGCGGCCGCTGGTCCGAAGGTGTGCTCACACAGGAAGGGGTAGTAGAGGCGAGGGGGGATGAGCGCTCGGTCTGTTTGCGTGCCGGACGCCGGGTGCACCAGCTGAGCAGCCGATGCCAGGAAGGGAAGCTGTGTGAACTGGGCCTGAGCGGCGACGCTGGACGCCCCCGTCGGAACGGCTGAGTTCATGTAGGAGAGCCAGCCGGGGCTGATGGGATAGCCGACGCCCAGCACCGACAGGTTGAGTCCGCCGGGGTCCTGGTAGTCCACCGGGTTGCTCGGAGGAGGGTAGCAGGGAATTGAACCGCTGACTCGCTGCTGCGCGCCTTCTGCTTTAGCTTTGGAGTGGCTGGACGCAAACAGCCGCCACTGCTCCGACAGAAGCCCCGGACCTGCCAGGCATGTCTTGGGGAGCTTGTAGTGCCTGAGCTGGGCCTCCACCTCTGCAGAACGAGCTCGCAGCAGCTGATCTTCCAGAGAAAGCATGTCAGCCATCAGCAGCTCTGACTCCGGCTGTTTGCTCCTCTGGGTTGGATTCTCCTCTCTGGAAGCAGCTTTGGCCGATCCGCTGATGTCTGGGCGCTCCTCTCGCCCTCCCTCCTCCTCGTCCTCCGCTCCCTGAGTCTCTCTGCCCTCGCCGTCCTCCTCCTCAGACCTCCGCTGGCCCTGCTTCTCCTGGCTGCAGATTACCTGCTCCAGTTCATCCTTCCCCGCAGCGTGCAGGCCGTGCGCCTGCTGGAAGGGCCGCAGCTGGTCCGGGTGCAGGATGTTGCCCTTCTTGTAGGGCCAGTCTGACTCTATGAGCAGAGACAGTGAGTTCTTGCAGAGGCTGTACTTCATGTGGTTGTACAGGTGGGATTTCTCCATGCAGGTGAAGGGACACTGAAAGCATTTATAGTTGTAGGGTTTGCCCCAAGGTCGCGGGATGTAGTGCGGCTTCTTCGGTTTTCGCTCCTTGTGTTTGCCGGCAGACGAAACTTTGCAAGCTTCATCCTTTGACATGATTAACGGTGATTTCAATCGCAGGTGCAATAAAAGTTATTCTAGGAACTTTGTTTCATTTGATGCAGATTTTTCTTCAGTCTTGTGAAATGAAGAACATCTTGTTAAACTTTCTGTCACTCCTGTGAAGCAAACAAAGAGAAACTTAGCGAGACAAGATTTGAAGTGAAATTAAGGTAATGGTGGGAGCTACCAGCTAATCTGCTAATTGTTAGCTTAGCTGAAATTGGGATATGTTTAGCGCATTTAGCTTCCCCTAAATGGAAGCTAAACCTTTTCCAGATCAATTCTAACGTCATAATTTAATACTTGTGTTGCAGTTTTGGTTATTAACTGTTAACAATTCTTTAAGTACTGCATGAATTCAGTGGTGATGCCATTGTTTGTACAGTGGACACCACACAGATCCAGTTCTGGTTCCCCAGATCCAGTTCTGGTCCCCCAGATCCAGTTCCGGTTCCCCAGATCCAGTTCTGGTCCCAGATCCAGTTCTGGTCCCCAGATCCAGTTCCGGTTCCCCAGATCCAGTTCTGGTCCCCCAGATCCAGTTCTGGTTCCCCAGATCCAGTTCCGGTTCCCCAGATCCAGTTCCGGTTCCCCAGATCCAGTTCTGGTCCCCCAGATCCAGTTCCGGTTCCCCAGATCCAGTTCCGGTTCCCCATCCAGTTCCGGTTCCCCAGACCCAGTTCCGGTTTTCCAGTATCAGGATTTTTCTGCAGAACTCCAAATTATGTGTATAATTTTTGGACAGCAGATTTAAGCGGGTAACAGGAAGCTGAAATACTTAGTAGCATTGATGCTAAGTAGCATTGATGTCCAATACTATTGGTGTCCAATACTGACCCTAAACCGCAGAGATTAAGAAGCTACTAGACGTTAGCTTCTGCTGTAGCAATAAGACAGTTTCCACTCCATTAATGGATATTAAGCGTTTGTTTAAGACTAAGTTGATAAAATGCTTTAGCATTAGTTTCTTAATGCTACATTGATATAGCAGTTTAGCATGCTATGTTGACGTATCGCTTTAGCTTTCGTTTTAGCTTCTGCTTAATTCTACTTACATGTAGAGCTTTAGCAATTGAGCATTAGCTTCTGCTTAATATTACATTGATGTAATTTAGCGTCGATGCGCTTTAGCATTAGCTAGCACAGCTAACTGTTTAACTAGCGATGCACCACTGAATAAAGTTATAGTTATGCTGCTTCCTGGTTTATGATAACCTAACATGTCTGTTATCTGCCACTAGGGGTCCCCGCTGCCCCTCACTCTCTGTACCTGCCACTGTTCATTAGCTGCAGTGCAGCACCAGGCGGCAGCAGGGCCCCGGGCTGCGGGGGGGCTAACAGCGCTAACCCTGCACCTGTGCAGCGAGGCTGGGCTTCGGGCCCTCGGAGGGCCGCTACAGGCGGCTCCATGCTGAGGATGGAGCAGCGCTGATGGGGACGGGAGGGAAGTTGGGGGTTTGAGGCCGGATTGCTAATGAGAGCCTGGCATCATGCCTGAAGGGCGTCATTAGTGCCAGGACTGAGATCTGGGTCAGGATGTGGAGAAGAAGTTCAACGCCTCCATTTAGCTTCTGCATTCAGAGCCGCAAAACCTGATGACCAGAAGATTTTTAATATTCAAGTTCAGCAAGAAATATTCAATATGTCCATCAATATTCAGCTTGTGACAAATATTATGTTCAGAACTCCAGTAGATCTGTCCGGGTTTTATATTGTTGTAATTTTGAAAATTGAAATGAATATTACTTTTATACAGTCCTAAACTATTCATACAACTAACGAATTTAAATATAAGTTTATATTTAATCAACTTTCAGAGAGAAAATTAGATCAGCATCTGACAAAATGTGATAAAACAAAACGAGGATTTACTTATATAAACAATAACTTATCAGATTGTTTTCATTTTATTAAGCAACTGCATTTATTAGCATTGTGTTGATTAAATCCTCCATGTTTCTGAGTTTCAGGTATTTTAGGATCTAATCTTTTCCTCTCCATCAGATTAAAGTTCAGACTTTGACTGAGCCGCTAATCAGATGAAACATGTTGGTCAAATTAAAAGATTAAACCTGAATATCCTGGAGGGATGAATATGCAAATATGCCTTGTGTTTAAGTTAATTACTAATTTATGCCTCTTTTTCTGAAATCTCTGCAGCTTAATTAGAGATTATCAGATTATCAGCCTGCAGGAGATCGGAACCGGACGATTTTTCCACAATCGGTTCTGATAATTAGAAAAATATGAACTAAATGCATCAAAACTCAAATCATCAGGTTGACTAATCAAAAAATCACGTAAACATTCGATATATTCCTAGAATCTCTTCATCAAACCACTAAAATAAAGAATCAGCAGCTCAGATCTCACAGCAAACTGAGACTTGATTTCTGCGTCTTTAAGTTTTCAAAATGTGTTTAATGTTTGCGTTACTGTGAGATTTTTCTGGGAGTGAAGCCGTCGGCTGCCGCCTGCAGTGGAGTCGAGTTTTACTTTACAGGCTTTTTCTTCAGGCCATTTGGAGATGAAAGTCAGTTTGCTTTAAAGTTTGGCCTCCATTTTCAACTAAATAAAAGAAACTTCATTTGTGTTAAACTTTGGGGATGAATCCCAGGTGGTAGAGGGGGAGTGATGCTGCGGGTCGGCGGGGTGATGGCGGCCCGGTTCCCCCAGCCGGACCGCCAGAATCGGGCCGTCTGATTGGCTGACTTGTGCGCCTCGGGGCTCTGACCTGCTCATAATGGAGGCTAACAGCTGCAGCTACGAGCCGATCAATAAAAATCATTTTTTCATCCCCGGCGCCTCGTATCCAAACCCTGCGGTCTTGTTTTAAGCTTTTAGGATCAAACGAACCCGACCGCTTGTACATCTATCGCTGCAATTCAGAAGGTCGAGTTCACTAAAAGCTTTGACGGAAACATGCGAGCGAAAACCGCAGCGCGTTTCTGCATGAGGTGAAATGAAACCGGGATGAAACGGATTACCTGAGAAAAGCTTCAGCTGATTTCCTCTGCAGAAGCTTTTAAAGGAAGGAAAGAAGATTAAAATGAGCAACAATATTCACCCAAAATATTCTACAGCAGCCAGGAATTTAATGCTTCACATTAAAGCAGATTATGTTTGTGATATATACATACATGTGCTTTTATTTTAACTTTTAATTATTTTATCCTGTGTGCTCACTGCAAAAACACAAAATCTTTCCAAGTATTTTTATGTAGTTTTTAGTGAAAATATCTTGAACTAAAACAAAACAAAATTTCAAGCAGCTTGTTTTAGGTTTTTAAAAAAGTGTTAATTACATTGGCAAATAATTTAACTCATATTTTTTCTTTTTGTATGTAAAATAAATTTAAATTTTTTAAAATCATTATTAAGGAATTATTTAGTTAAAACAAGCTCTTATATCTTGCTGAAAAGTTACTTTTAATTTAGTTTTGTTTTAAGATATTGGCACTAAAAACTAGACAGAAAAAGATTTATTTTTAGTGTAGCTAAATCTACTTAAATAAATGTCTAAAAATGATTTTTTTTTAATATGGAATATTTAGCAGTGGAACTATAATGTTTTAATTATTGAAAATAATTTTCTTTTAAAGAAGCTCCTAATCTGTTACTGTAAATTACTTCAGTTTTATTTAAAGACATTTGCACTCAAAACAAGACAAAAATACTTTTGACAAATAGTTTTGGCAGTGATGGTTTACCAGATTTCCATTTCTATGTCTAAAGTTTTTATCTCACCTATTAATGATGTGAAGTAAATTCCAATTAGTAAATCAGCAAAACTTTATCAAAATCCAACCAAAAAGAAGCTAAAAGTGAAGTTATGATTAAAAACATCCTGCCAGGCCTTCATTCACTTCCCTGTTTTCTGCTAAAAGTGGCTGAAAGCTGCGTGAGGTTGGCATGGAGATGGATCGGTTCGTACCTGGACTCGTCCTGATGAGGTTCTGTCACGTCTCTGCAGCAGCAGCAGCAGCAGCAGCAGCAGGGCGGCGCGTCCCGCTCAAATGGGAGCGCAGCAGCCAGCGCTGGGATATATACTGACTGGGAGCTCTGCCCTCAGGCGCTACAATGCAGCCGCGCGGCGCCCCAAATGCAGCGACGCCCCCAATGCAGCGGCGCCCCCAATGCAGCGACGCCCCCAATGCAGCGACTCCCCCAATGCAGCGACGCCCCCAATGCAGCGGCGCCCCCAATGCAGCGGCGCCCCCAATGCAGCGGCGCCCCCAGTGCAGCGGCCGCTGACGCCTGGCAGCCCGGACCCAGAACCTACAGATTATTGGCTGAGGGTCGTTAAAACGCAGATTGGATCAGTTTTCATCTGGGATTCACATGAGAAAGCAAAAGAGTTTAAAAGTCTTAATGTTGAACTTTGACCTGAAATCGATAAACTACTGCAGATGAACTGAAACGCTTCATTTTTCTTTGTGTAACATTTTTATTTCACACATTCTGTAAAATAAAAATATCTCATTACTCTACAGTATTTATTTTTTACATGTATTTTAATCATTTTTTATATATTTTTTTGTGAACCTAAATATTTTAATGCTGCTGAGTTTCACCCAATGTGGAAAAATTGTCTGTTTTTTTTTATCTAATCAATCAATCAATCAATCAATCAATAAAGGGCATTTCTGTTCTGTTCTATTCAATAATGCATCAAATTAATTCATTAATGAAAAATAATGATAGAATATCTAAACATTTTTTGCATACCATCCAATTTTTAAGATATTTTTTATATTTAGATAAAAAACTTTAAAGATCATCATTAATAATAATTTCCCTTAATAAAAAGGGATTAATACAAATTAAAAAAATGTATCTATTTGGTTTCATTTGTAGAAATAAAAATAAAATGAAAACTTACATTTTTATATGACAAAAGATAGATTAAGATCCCCTTTAGGTTATTTACAAAAAGTAATAAAAATTAACTTTAAATGTATTTATTTATCAATAAACAATACTTTCCATGTGTTAGTTTTTGTTGTTTTCACTTATTTATTCTGCTGTTATCTTGTAAAATACATTTCTATTAAATTGTAAGAAAAATTATTTGTACATTATTTTCATTTGTAGAAATATAAATAAAATAAATATGTAAATGCTGTATTTTCTAAAACATGAGAAAAAATTGATTTAAGTGCTTATTTTATTGAAAAGTTATCAGCTGTATTTTTGTAAATAAACATATAAATTAACGTATAAATCAGTTTTGTTCTCTGCTGCCATAAAATGAGTCATTTGAGGTGAAACTCCTGGATTATCAATTAATGTCCATCTGAAAACATGTAATGTGACAGATTATTTCATCCTGTCTCTTGTTTCAGACAGTCGGTTCGGTTCGGGTCGGGTCGGGTCGGGTCGGGTCGGTGCCACCAGTGGCGGAGCCAAAAGGCCAAAGGGTGAGCAAGGCTTTATCAGAGGGTCCATATACAAATGGACCGTTCCATGGAACGAAAGGATGTTTCAAAAATTTATAACTAGTGAATAAGATATACTACTTTTTTCAGTCATTATAAAACTTAATGGTTTTTCTCATATTCTTACCACACATTTCAAGCAAGAGCTGGAAGTATAGAACATTACAGGCAGCATGTCACTAAAACATATGTTAAAAGAATCTGTCTAAAAACGACCTATCAGCACTAGCATGGCTAATAATAAACGAGGCACTACGCAGCGGTGCACAAATTTGTTCTTTTTAGAATGTAGGACAAGTGCCGCCTCTCATTAGGAAGGTAACAGCGGTTACTGCTGGGCGGTAAAATGTTGGAAATACCTGCAGAACTCCTCGACGGTGTAACTCTAAAGCCGTTGATGTTTTGGATCAAGCAGGAACCACATGTCAGTTAACCAATGAACAGCGTCGGACATCGGGCTGCCTTCAGGGACAGTCGCCGATTATATATTTTAATGACCATTTCCAGTGGGGTGGCACTAGGGGTGGCCAGGGCTCTGTTGGGGGTGGCAAGTGCCACCCCGGCCACCCCTCTGGCTCCGCCACTGGCTGCCACTAACAGGGAGCCAAACCTTCTGCAAGAAATATGACAGCGGGGGAAGATCCACGGCTTCCTGAACGTCACAGTGTCTGAAGTCAGTTTGTCTTTTCCTGAGATTTCTTCTTCTTCTTCTTCTTCTTCTTCTTCTTCTTCTTCTTCTTCTTCTTCTTCTTCTTCTTCTTCTTCTTCTTCTTCTTCTTCTTCTTCTTCTTCTTCTTCTTCTTCTTCTTCTTCTTCTTCTTCTTCTTCTTCTTCTTCTTTTTCTCTTTAAATCAAACCAAAGCGAGGAGAGACTTCTGTTTGAAAAATCTTTTTTTTTCTGCCTCCTGCACAACCAATAAGATCAGCAATACTTTATACGGCGCACAGAGCGATGAAACCAGCTGAACAAATGTGCTGGAGTTCCGCTTGGGTTGCTAGGTAACGGCGCAGCATGTGACACCAGGACTCGTGGCCCGGATGGATCTTCTGCGTTTTGCGTCGTTCACATTCAGAATTTTTTGCGCCACAGCAAAAAGGAAAATAACGCAGAAAAATCGTTTGGAGAAAAACTCAGAACCACCATAGCAACGACGCTACACGCAGACTCGTTGTCATAGCAACTGACAACAACATGTATCATGAACACCAAAAAACAGGCGATCGTTTCCCAAACGAGGATCAGACCTGCGAGCTGCGAGCTGCTTGTGTTCTGCGGTCTGGACGGAAAAGACCTGGACGTGTCCCGCATGCGCAGCAGGGGGCGCCATAGCGTCAGCGTTCAGTGTTTGTCGTAAACATGGAGGCTGACGGTGGAGCAAAGCTTAGTGTCGCCCTGGTTGTTTTACGTCCTGTTTGCGTTTCATGTGGGATTTCTCTGGTATCAGCGACGTTCGGGTCGATATTGGAATCGGATTCATATCGGATATGAAGAGCCTGAACCCGACCTGTGATGTTCAGACTGTCATGAAAAGATCCGGAACCAACAGTCGGATTTGGGTCACTTCAGGCTGCAGTGTGAACGCAGCCTGAGCGTCCAGCTGAGCCTCTTCCTTTGCTATCGTTTCTTAATTCAAACTTTTTCCCGACATCTTTATTGTCAGTTAGTAGCAAAGCATTTTTTCTTTTGTAAATCACTTTTCAGATTTTGTGTCATGTTGATAAATTGTGTTTTTGTGTTTATTAGAAACAGTCGAGACACAAATAGAAGCATAAAAATGTGTGAAATGTGAATTATGCACAAAAAGTTCAATTTTTAAAAGAAAAGACAGAAATCACAACAAACTTTTGATTAATTTATTAAAGTAATTATTAGTGTTGGCACCAGTTCAGAAATCATTTGTTTGGGGTAAAGTTTGTGCGCCGCCATGTTTACCTTCAGAGGCTGAATCAGAGTGATGATGATGATGATGATGATGATGATGATGATGATGATGATGAAGCTGAGGCGAAGCTCTCGCGGCGAGTGCAGCTCCTTATGGAGCCGCATCTGGGGATCTGACAGCAGCACTCTATTACCACTCAGAGACAGGAACCCGAGGCCGCCGCCGCCGCCAGCCGCCGCCGCCACCAGCCACGTCCAGCTGTGCTGATGCCTCCAGACGCACACGCAGACAAAACCATGCAAATGAGGAGGAACGCTCGCAACTCGCTGCTCCACAAATCGGACTTGCACCGTGTTGGAAAAGTCGGTTTGTGGGTGTAAAGATGGAGATGAATGAGTGAAAGTCAGGCTGTTTGCAGCGCCTGAGCCTTAAAGCCTGAGGATGAAGCAGCTCCTCTGTTAGCCTGCGCTGCTGGGCACATTAACTAAACTCATATCGCTCTCAGCCACCATCAATTATTCACCGCCTCCTCCTCAGTTCCCCTCCTTTCAAAGAAGAAAACCTCTAACAGAAAACACACTGCAGTCACAGATAAACCTCCAGCCTTTGGTCACATAATGGGACTTGAATCATTGTTGGAGTAAAATAATGATAATTCAAACTTTCTGAGCTAATGAGCGAACACTGGACTGATATCATCCCAATAAGGAAAACTGCTGAAAATACAGATAAATCATCTTTTCACAGGAAAAATAAAACATTAGTTGCTGCTAAATTTGTGGCCTATTTAAAGTCCAACTCAAGTTGTAATAATCATTTTAAAATTGCCTGTTTCTGCGTTTATTAGTTGTGTTTCCATCACAAATTGTTAATATTCTGCTAATGTTGAAAAAACTTCATTTTGCAGTTTTATTGTTTCCATGAAGTAAGAAGCGAAATTAAAATCACACCTGAATAAGTTTGTTTATGCAATAAGTTAAAAACCATTCACTACTTCCTGTTGTCATCTTCTTTGTGGTTTCTGCCAGTGGTAACTTCCCGTTGCAGATCGTGTGATTTCTGCTGGAAACCATGTTGGTATAGCGATTTAGCATTAGCAGAATAAATGTTCATGGTTAGCACGTTAGCTTCAGCGCAAATGACTTTTCAGTTAGCTGTGCTAATGATTGACATGACAAACTTAACCTCTAACCAAAGTATTGAAAGGATGACCGACATGTGTCCTTTCAGAGGTGAACTGCCTCGCTGCAGAATGCTGGAAGCACACCATGAGACATTTCAGCTTCACATTTAATGAAACGCACACAATTATTGTGATGCGTGTCGGACGAGCGCTGGCCGGTCTCCAAGTTGAAAACAGTCGTCAGGGTGAATCAGTGCGTTGATGGTTAAAAGTCAGAGTTCAGTCCTGAGCGTTGGGGTTTTTCTCTGAAGATATGTGTGCCCTTCTCTGCAACTTCAGCGTCTGCATGTGAGAAACGGCTCGTTACTGTCGGTCCACTGCAAAAAAACACAAACACTGGAAAAACACAAACACTGCAAAAACACAAACACTGCAAAAAAACAAACACTGCAAAAACACAAACACTGCAAAAAAACACAAACACTGCAAAAACACAAACACTGCAAAAACACAAACACTGCAAAAACACAAACACTCCAAATAAACAAACACTGCAAAACACATTTGACCAAATATTTCATTTTTAGTGCAATCATTTGAAATAAGACAAAACTCAGTGTCAAGTTTTGTCTTCACACTGAGTTTTGTCAAGTAATTCATCAGTGTAATTCCATATTAAATATCTGACATATCGTGATCAAATTCACTGTACTGAATGCAGAATTAGAAAAAATTATTGACTTAAGGTGAAAAGTTATTTTTGTTGTATTTCAAGTGAACTGAGACAAAAATATTTCATCAAATAAAATGTTGTTTGTTTGTTTATGTATTTTTGTTTATGTATTTTTACTTATGATTTCATGTTTTTGCTGTGTCCGTTAGGAAACAGTG